CAAAAACATGCAAATGCGGGTAGATCAATAGGTACAGCTTCTGCAGGAAGGTAATGGCAGTCCATGCAGTCATGCTGTCAGTGTCCACACGACCTTGGAGGTGTCTACGGACAGCGCCGGCTCTTTGGCTTAGAAATAGAGATGAGCACCACCCCCCAGAGTTGGACACGACTGGACTTAATGTCAGGTGAAACTTTTACCTTTACTTACAACAAGAAGATTGGGATATTTTGTGAAAATATAAGTAGGACCCTTCTGCCTCAATGTGAGTATATATTATGGCTCTCTCTGACTGTGCTGTGAATGAAGGTTTTCCTATATAATCTGGAATAACAGCTCTTGAATTCACTGCATGCTTGTATTAAACCCATGCTTTAGACTGGTATTAAACTGTACAGAAACATAACACGAGTAAAGAAATTTAGCATAGACTTGTTTATTCAAGGATGCTGCCAAATACTGCAAGTGTTGCCATCAGACAATGAACTCAACTGTTTCACTGACTTCATTCAAGACATCTGACAAGCAGATGTAGTTTAAAGAAAGAGGAATATTTTCTTCCCTGCAGTTATAATCTCAAGTGTATTCATGTTCGTGTGTATATGTGTGTTTGTCTATATATGCGGTTTTGTGCATGCGTTTTAATGTATTTTTTCTCTTTTGGCTTTTTAAGACTCTTCTGCTGTGTTTTTCAGTGTTTTTCAGAGTGATGATCGCTTGTTGGCCTAATAGATGTATTGTGTCCAAATTTGGTGTCAATTCGTCCAGTGGTTTTTTAGTTATGTTAATCCCACAAACTAACACACGTGTGTGTGTGTATAGGTTGAAGTATTATAGCAGTCCAACCAGACACTACCATATTTCCCCCCAAATTGTCACATTTTTGAAGCGATTTTAAAGCATCCACTTTCCAATTCCCACCAACTGCAGGGATGAGACAGACTTTGAAATGTCTCCCTGCAGAGCTGGAGCTAGAGATTTTATCACCTCCTTTATATCAACACTTCCCTCTGTGCTCAAAACAACATTCGTTCTCCCCTTTCTTGGTACTTTGTTGAAGCCTTGCCTCAAAATCCACACATTTTGTGGGAAAATGAGCGAGGCACAAACCCAAACCATCTTCAGCTTACCCATTTTCATCCATATCTACACCAGACCTCAGATCTTCACACTCCCCATGTTTCTTGTCTATTTAATTATGATTATCTTCCATATTTGAGTAGATATTTATCAGGACTATTAGGAGTGTGTGATGCATAAGTATATATGTGCCACCTACACTTCTGTAGCAGTTGGATTAATTGTAATAGGCGCTGAATGAGGCTGCTGTTTGACATTTGCAGCAAATGATGGGGAAAGTATTAACCTTTGTCACATTTCTTTTAAAAATTATTTTGCTCTTCCTATGTATAATTTGTTCCTGTCATTCTTTGTTATATTAATGACAACCACGCAAGCTGTTGCTAGAGTTACCTTGTCTTGTTTCTCTAACCTTACAAAATGTAATTGTTTTTATTGGCTTGTCAGGTCAGTGTCGTAGAAGCCATATCAGATCATTTGCCATTAAACAACTCAGGAAAGATGTAGTGTATAGATCTGAAGCATAATCTAATAACTCCTTTCTAAAATTAACCCATAATTTTAGGTATCTAAATACCGTTGCTTTCTCAACTGCAATAAACATGGACAAAGGTTATAATAATACAACAAATTAATAACAAGGAATGTATTAAAATGTAATGTTCATTTGTGGGATTAACATAACTCAAAAACCACTGGACAAATTGACACCAAATTTGGACACAATACATGTATCAAGCCAACAAGTGACCATCACTCATAAAAACACTGAAAAACAAAGAGCCATCTAGCCATAGATATAGATAGATATATATGATTCACACACATATGTATATGACAGATATAGCAGCACAGATTTGAAAGGGACACCTAAAGAAGGACAATTATACGTTGCATGTTCCAGAGTAGGCAAACCAGACAATCTCTACATCAACATTGACCAAGAAACAACAAGAAATACTGTTTACCCACAAGCATAAAGAAATAACATATATTAGAAACCAACACTTTCTCATTACTTTATGTTTGCTTATTTACTTGCTTATTGGAGCCTAAAGCCAGTGTGAAGCTTTGATGGGCAACACATTTTTGCACCTCTCACTCTTGCCTTCTTTCATGTCAAAAACCTGCTCTGGCTTTCTTTCCAGCCCTAAAGACTCACTTTTTTGAGGTTCTTGGGTGCTACATTTGGCTGAAGATAACGTATCTCAAACTTGTGGGTGACTGTTATTGCACAGATAGCTTTTCAATCTTGGATACAACTAAGAGGCCTGGATTTCCTGCTGCCACTTGAGGGATGATGCTACTTGCACTACCCTCATATCTGTGACTTTGGTGGGCATTCCTAGAAGTGCTGAAATAACAGCATAGATTAAGGCAAAGGTTTTCCCTTGACATTAAGTCTAGTTGTGTCCGACTCTGGGGGGTGAAGCTTATCTCCCTTTCTAAGCTGAAGAGCTGGCGTTGTCCATAGACGCCTTCAAGGTGATGTGGCCAGCATGACTGCATGGCTCACCATTACCTTCCTACTGAAGCAGTATCTATTGCACTATTCCCATTTGCATGTTTTTGAACTGCTAGGTTGGCAGAAGCTGGGGCTATGAGTGGGAGCTCACCCCGCTTCCTGGAATCTAACCGCTGACCCTTTGGTGAGAAAGTTCTGCAGCTCAACAGTTTAACCTGCTGCGCCACTGGCGGCATAGAATCTGAATAAAAAACTTTTTGATTGCATGCTGAATGACATTATATATACATGTGTGGTTTCGCGCATGCGTTGTAATGTATTTTTTAATTTTGGGCTTTTAAAGTCTCTTCTGTTGTGTTTTTCAGTGTTTTTATGAGTGATGGTCACTTGTTGGCTTGATACATGTATTGTGTCCAAATTTGGTGTCAATTTGTCCAGTGGTTTTTGAGTTATGTTAATTCCACAAACGAACATTACATTTTTATTTATATGGATTAGTGTCCCCTGCCATGCGTATGTGTGTTTTGTGTGTGTGTGTATTTGTGTATATGTGTAGTTTTGTGCATGCGTTGTGATGTATTTTTTATTTTTTGGCTTTTAAAGTCTCTTATGCTGTGTTTTCAGTGTTTTTTGAGTGATGGTCACTCATTGTTAATTCCACAAACGAACATTACATTTTTATTTATATGGACTAGCTGTCCCCTGTCATGCGTATGTGTGTTTTGTGTGTGTATATATTTGTGTATATGTGTATATATGTAGTTTTGTGCATGCATCGCAATGTATTTTTTTATTTTTTGCTTTTAAAGTCTCTTCTGCTGTGTTTTTCAGTGTTTTTTGAGGGATGGTCACTTGTTGGCCTGATAGGTGCATTGTGTCCAAATTTGGTGTCAATTTGTCCAGTGGTTTTTGATTTATGTTAATCCCACAAACGAACATCATATGGGATATATTGAGAATGGTGATCAGATCATGATATTAATAAACATAACAGTTTCAATAATGTACCAGTAAGGCCTTCTCGCGGACCACCATAATAATTTGGGGGGGGGGGGTAAAGCCTCTATAGCCCTCCCCCTCCCCCACATGCCTGGCCTCTGAGGATGCCTGCCATAGATGTGGCCGAAATATCAGGAGAGAATGCTTCTGGAACATGGCCATACAGCCTGGAAAACTTACAGCAACCCAGTGATTCAGGCCATGAATGCCTTAGACCCATGATAGCGAACCTATGACACGCGTGTCAGCACTGACACGCATAGCCATTTTCGATGACACACGGCCACATGTGGCCGCATACAGGGAAGCTTGGGGCCTCGTGCCAAGAAGGATGTTTCATCCTCGGTTCCCACATGGCTAGGTGCAGTAGCTGAGGGTGAAACATTTGCTGTAGTGTAGTGTAGACACTCTGTGCCAGAGGTCTGTAGACCAAAATAACAGAACTCCGGCACAGAGTATCTAGTTCTGGGACTTCCGGTTAGGCTGTTACGGGATCTTTAAACTCACTTTCAGCCGGCGGAGTAGGGAGCAGAGGAATGCTATGGGGGACGCATCTCTGGGGCCCCTGTGATTGCCATTGCCAGCAACCACATAACTACAGCAACCATCATCCAATCTACTGTTCTGCGGGTATCAATGATTTCTAATTGACCATAATTACTGAAATAAGTGGGGGACGGGGGGACTGGGAGAGGTGAGGACCTGTGCTATGGGTGCCATTTCCCGCCATTAGAAATAGCGGGAGCCATCTTAATTTGCACTAAGCAGGTAAGTTAAATAATTAGTTTTTGGGTTATTAAATATAGTTATATATTACAATTATACTTTTTTGTTATTTAAACTGTAAATATAACAAAATTAAGGGTTTTTTTCGAAGTGACACCCCACCTGAGTTATGTTCAGTTTTTTTGGCGAATTTTGACACACCAAGCTCAAAAGGTTGCCCATCACTGCCTTAGACTTTAGAAGCTCCTGAGGGTAAGAGCTGTTTGGCAGAGCCTGGCAGGGTGGTGGAGGTTTTTAAGCAGAGGCTGGGTGGCCATCCGTGGGTAGGGCTTTGATTGTGTATCCTTGCATGGCAGTCTGGGTGGCTCTTGGAGTTTCTGTTCTAATTCTGTGAATCAGAGAGCAGTGAGTGAGAGGGAGAGCCTGGGAGGGTGCTGGAGAGAGGGAGTCTCTCTCTTTCTCTCTCTTCTTCCTCCCTCCTTCTCTCCCTCTCTCTGTGAGAGGGAGGAGGGATGACTTGGCACTGAGTCCTGCTCCGGGCTCAGCCGGCGCTGGGTCCACGCCTCCGGGTCTTGCCTGAGCCCAGCTTGCGGGGAGGGAGCAAGAGAGAGAGAGAGAGAGAGAGCCAGTGAAGGAAGGAAGGAAGGAAGAAGAGAGGGAAGGAGGGAGAGGGAGAGACTGCACCGACGCGGAGGGAGGGGGGAAGGGGGTGTTGCGGAGAGGAAGGGCAGCCGCCTCCTTCTGCTCCTCCTGCTCCTTCTCCTGCTGCCAGAGGAGGACCTGCTCCTGCCTCCTCCATCCTCTCCCGCAGGTAAGCCTGGGCCGTCCTTCTGCGGCTTTGGCCCCCAGGTGCCCCCTCTGGCCGCTGTCCCTGGTGCTGAAGCTGTGAAGGGAGGAAGAGGGGGCGCCCCTTGCCGCTCTCCCTCTCCTCCCCAAACAGGCTGCCTCTCCGCTGGCCGGGTTTTGGAGCTGGCGTCACCTCTTCCGCAGAGCAGGGAGTGGAAAAGGGGGAGAGGGAGGGGTGGCCCTGCCTTGGCCCCTTCCTTGCCCAAGGATGACAAAGGGCCAGGCCTCCTGCCTCCATCCCTCTGGCCATCCGGAGCAGCTCGGGTCAAGCAGACCGGGAGGAGAGGGGGATGATGACTCTGAGTGTGTGTGTGGGCCGCAGCCATGAGAGGCTTTGGGGCAGCGGGGTTGCGCCTCTGCGTGTGCATTGACGGGTTGCACAGAGAGAGAGAGACAGAGAGAGAGAGACACCCGCAGTCATGAATGCCAACTGGGACACAGGAAGAGGCGGAGGGGCAATGCGAAAGTCAAGCGCTCGGATACGGATGGACAGTTCTGCGCACACACTCCCGCATCCATCCATCCATCCACCCAGGCTGAAGTGGCACACAGCAGGGTGGGATGATACCAAAGCCAAAGGGGCTTCTCCTCCTTCCTTCCTTCCCTCTCTTCTCCTCCCCTTTCTGCTTCTTCCTCCTCTTCCATTCCTCCTCCTCTTCTTCTCCTTTGGCCTCTCCTTCACCATTTCTCCCTCTCCTCACCTTCCTTTTCCTCTCCTTCACTGCTTCTTCCTTCTCTTCTTCATCTCCTTCTACCTCCTCTCCTCCTCTTCTCCTCCTTCCTCTACTTCCCTCCCCTCCCTTCCCATCTCCTCCTCTTTTTCTCCTCCCCCTCACTGCCTCTTCCTTCTCTTCTTCATCTCCTCCTCTCCTCTTCCCTCTTCTTCCCTCCCTCTTTCTTCCCTTTCTCCACTCCTCTTCCTTCTCTCTCATCTCCTTCTACCTCCTCTCCTCCTCCTCCTCCCTCTTCTTCTCTCCCCTTCCTTCCCATTTCCTCCTCCCCCTCTTCTCCTTTGGCCTCTCCTTCACCATCTCCTACTCTTCTCCTTCTCCTTCCTGTTTCCTCTCCTTCACTGCCTCTTCCTTCTTCATCTCCTTCTACCACTCCTCCTCCTCCTCTCCTCCTCCTTCTCTTCTTCCCTCCTCTTCCTTCCCATCTCCTCCTCTTCTCCTTTGGCCTCTCCTTCACCATCTCTTCCTCATCTCCCGCTCCTTCTCTCCTTTGGTTTTCCTCTCCTTCACTGCCTCTTCCTTCTCTTCTTCCTCTCCTCCTCCTTCCTTTTCCCTCCTCTTCATTCCCATCTCCTTCTCCTCTTCTTCTTCTTTGGCCTCTCCTTCACCATCTCTTTCTCTTCTCCCACTCCTTCTCAGCTTCCTATTTCCTCTCCTTCACTGTCTCTTCCTTCTTTTTTCATCTCCTTCAAGCTCTCCTCCTCCTTCCTCTTTCTCCTACTCCTCTTTCTTCTTCCTTCCTTCCTCTTCCTTCCTATCTCCTCCTCCTCTTCTCCTTTTGGCTCTCCTTCACTATCTATTCCTCTTCTCCCACTCCTTTTCTCCTTCATCCCTCCTCCCCTCCTCCTTCCTTTTCTCCTCTCTTCCTCCTCCTCCTCTCTTCTCCTCCTCTTCCTGCTTCTTTCCCTCTCTCCTTCCCATCTCATCCTCTTCTACTCCTTTGGCCTCTCCTTCACAATCTCTTCCTCTTCTCTCCTTCCCTTTTCCTCTCCACCTCCTTTTTTCCTCTTCTTCACTGCCTCTTCCTTCTCTTCTTCATCTCTTTCTACTTCTCCTCCCCCTTCTGCTTCTTCCTCCTCTTGCACTACTCCTCCACCTCTTCTCTGTTGGCTAAGTATCACATCTCTTCCTCTTTCTCTTCTCCCTTCTCTCCTTTTCCTCTCCTTCACTGCCTCTTCCTTCTCTTCTTCATCTCCTTCTACCTCTCCTCCTCCTCCTTCCTGTTTCTCCTCCCTCTCCTCTTTCCTCCTCCCCCTCCTCTCCTCTTCCTTCCCATCGCCTCCTCATCTTCTCCTTGCTTTTGCAGTCAAGATGTGTATATATTTTTTTGCACAGCCTTCATGGTGTCATCAGAAAAAGCTGGGCCTGGGAAGTGATACCTTCCCGGCGCAATGAGCTGCCTGTGCCTGCTTAAAAAGTTGTAATCCGATGCTGATTCTGTGCTGTGATCAAACCTCCAGATGAAGCTTAAACACCCAGAGCTGGCATTAGGGCATGACGTTATATAACTAACTCCACCGGGATGGGACAAAATGGGAATGAATTGGCTTGGGAAACTTAATTGTATTTATTCCCCCCTTATCTGAAGAATGAAGATGTTTCCTTCTTGATACTGTTTTTAAATATATTCCCAATGAAATGCTCAACCTAGCGTCTTGGAAAAGGCAAGAGAAACTGCAAGTTGCTTCTGGTGTGAGAGAATTGGCCATCTGCAAGGACATTGCCCAGGGGATGCCCGGATGTTTTTGATATTTTACCATCCTTTTAGGAGGCTTCTCTCATGTCCCCATAAGGGGAGCTGGAGCTGACAGAGGGAGCTCATCTGCACTCTCCCCAGATTCAAATCTCTGACCTGTCGGTCTTCATTCCTGCCGGCACAAGGGTTTAACCCATTGTGTAACCAGGGGCAAGACAAGTAATAGGCCTCAAAGGAAGTTGGTGTCCAAAAGTACACAATCGATTTTTGCTACTGTTCCACTATTATGTTTATACATGGGTGTTATGTAGTATTGATTTCCTAGGGGTCATGTGGGGTATTAATTGTTGCAGAAAAAGAAATCTGCTTTGATGCGCAATATGGTCAAAACCATATACTAAACTCTTCCTTTTGATGCGTTTTGCTGTACAGTCAGAGTGTCAGAATGCCACTTAGCACCGCAGGCATTCCTGGTAACCTACATCAGTTCCATTTTATTATTAGCAATTCGTAAATGAAGCCAGGCTGCCTCTTTTGGATTTCTCTCATTGAAACAAATTTCCAAAGGTCGTGAAGCAAACTGCAGTAGAACTTGCCTTTAACCATCTCTCATCTGTAAGGAACGCTGTCTGAGCTTTTTTCAAGGGGTTGCTTTCACAGTCCTGCTTGAATGGGTTCTGAAGATTATTAAATATAGTATGACTCTTGTGTATCTGTGGGAGATTTGATCTAAAACTTGTATGAATATGTGAAACCATGGATAACAGCAAACCCTATTTGAAATGAAGGACTTCTATCCTGAGAATGCCATAGAGTCATGCTGGAGGACCTTAAAATGTCTACTTTATCAGATGTGGATACAGTCCCAGAGATATGGAGGTCGTACTGTATTATAGGCCCCCCAGTGGCAAAGCAGGTTAAACTGCTGAGCTGCTGAACTTGCTGACTGAAAGGTCGGCGGTTTGAATCCAAGGAGTGGGGTGAGCTCCCGCTGTTAGGCCAAGCTTCTGCCAACCTAGCAGTTTGAAAACATGCAAATGTGCATAGATCAATAGGTATCGTTTCTGCGAGAAAGTAACAGCACTCCATGCCAGCCACATGACCTTGGAGGTGTCTATGGACAACGCCGGCTCTTTGGCTTAGAAATGGAGATGAGCACCACCCCTCAGAGTCAGACACAACTAGACTCAATGTCAGGGGAAATCTTTACATTTTTACTGCATTACCAAAAATGCAGAAATTGAATTATAGATGCAAGAAATGGCTCGGTATTTTCTACCAGTTTTTCCCCCATGTCTGATGTGAGAGAATTGGCCGTCTGCAAGGATGTTGCCCAGGGAACACCTGGATGATTGATGTTTTGCTATCCTGTGGGAGGCTTCTCTCATGTCCCCGCATGAGGAGCTGGAGCTGACAGATGGGAGCTCACCCCGCTCCCCGGATTCAAACCATTGTTCTTTCAGTCAGCAGTCCCGCCACCAGTAAAACACACAGTGACAGAGTTCTGGGTCCTTTGGCATCTCAGTACATGTTTGATAGACTTATTTTCCCCCTCAGTTATTAATTAACTGCCTATCACTATCTCAAAGGTTGAGCAGTTTTTTGACAACATAGACACAACCCATGTTGGATCATGGTGAAATACTTATGTTAAATAGCAACCATCGTCTGCTTCTAATAACCAACTCTGTCCTAATTTGACTGTAGTTTTGTCTATGACCTTGACTTGCAAAGATGGAAAAAGAATTATGATGAAACAGGCCTACGTTAAAATTTTGTTGTTGGAGGATTGTCTTATTTCTGGCATAAATTAACACAGGCAGAAAACTAAATTAGAAGCTAATTGGATTAAATGTAACCCCAGAATTGACTTTTTTTCAGTAATGTCCTTGCTCCTTTGCATCACCTCAAAACCATTTTTAGTTGTCCACAAACTGTGTTGCCAAAAGCTTTCATGGCCAGAATAACTGGGCTGCTGTGAGTTTTCTGGGCTGTATGGCCATGTTCCATGAGTCGCCGGTCACGGCTGATAAATGCGGTATACAAATAGCGTAAATAAATAAATAAATAAATTCTCTTCTGAAATTTTGCCCACATCTATGGCAAGCTCTGAGGATGCCTGTCATAGATTTGGGCAAAACGTCAGGAGAGAATGCTTCTGGAACATGGCCATACAGCCTGGAAAACTCACAGCAACCCAGTCCAGAAATTCCTTTCCTCCCTAAACCTAGAAGAGAACTTCTGTTCAAAAGAGTTGTGAAACTTTCACAGATCTGGAGCCTGATTTTCTGCCTCAAGGGTGGTAGGCTCTAATGCAGTGGTTCCCAACCTGCAGTCCATGGACCACCAGTGGTCTGCAAGAACTAAAATATGGTGTGTGTCCTCACCATTACTACATTGTTCCAACGAGAAAAACTGGTTTCACGAAACCCTCTTATAGTGCTGAGGCTTATTAAATATGGTTTTCTGTTGTTGAGAAGATGGCAACTACTGAATGGCATGTGTTCTGTATCAGAAACTAGAGCTGATGTGGTCTGT